CCGAAACGGTGGCGGTGCCGTCACGATTTCCTTGTTGACTTTCAGAGTCATACAACCCCATACACAGTCATACTACAGATGGTTAGATAAGTTAGATAAAGTCATACAACCCCATACACAGTCATACTACATTGATCAGCACGAATGCATGTGAGGACAGAGGAGGTTCGACCTTTTTCGTTTAGAACATGTGAGCAGGTCCGACTGACCTTTTTCATACAGAGGAGGAAATCTGTGAAGAGGGGACTGTAGAAATGTCGCTAACGATTTCGTGCAAGAAACTGGATGACACTCACTGTTCGTCAAGCTGGGACGTTGCCTTTCTGCGCGTGGTCGGGCGTCGCGGCACTAGCCCCGTTCGCAAACGGACTGACCATGACCGCCGCCGCCGCGTCGTCGTCATGGCTGGGTCGACTAGGACGCGGTGCTTGTATGATTTACTACTCACCATATCGTTCTTCCAGATTATGGAGCAGGACCACTCCTACTGCTTCCTGCTATTTTTTCAGAGGTCACGGCGCGCGACCCGGGGATGCGTGCGTCCGCGAGCGGTGTGGAGTGCGATCTGGTGACGGCGCCGGGCGAGGGAGGACGGAGGTGCTCCTGATCGAGCGCGCCCGAGCCACCCGCCGGTAAAATGGAATGCCGACCACCGTACCCCGGGCAGCGACTGGAACACCGACCCCCGCTTCTTGCGGCAGCCCGCACGTACGCATGCACGCTCGATCGGCAACGCTCGAGGCGCAGCGCCGGGTGCCGGGATCTCGGATCCGGGCCACGCACGCACCACCAGCTCCTGGTTGGAGTCACCGGTCACGTCGTCCCCGTGCTCCCTGCCGCCACGGCAACTCACTCATGCGCGCCTTTGCCATAGCAGTTGTTGCAACAGAAACGAGCGGGAGGGCCAGAGGCTAGTCGTCGTCACGGCTTTCATGTTGACTTTCAGAGCGCTAGCAGCATGCTGGAGATGATTAGAGGGAGCCTTAGTTAAGGATTACTGTGATCGTGATCTCAGGAAAAAGGTTTACGGTAATTATCGCGGCACGTGGGCACCAACAACCGACCAGGAAGATGCAGCAGCATTGCCGACGAATCTCTGCATGCATGTAACTGTAAAAAAGAAATCATCAGATCAGAGAATGCACACGGCAAACTGGAACTCTCGCTCACTCCACGGTGGTCTGCCGGGATCTTGAGCTGGAGGACAGCATGTGCCACACACATGACTTTTGCCGGTGCTCACGGCGCGACCTCACGAGGAGGAGCACGCCGCTTGCTACCCACGCATCTAATAAACACTTATTAGATTTGTAATTCTGACTGTTCTTTGTGGTTCGGGAATACAAAGGAAGATACAAAGGCTTGTGCAGGCGTGGTCGAATTTGGAGCAAGGAATCGGATGTCCTGGTTTGTGAGGACAAAACCGCTCGGAATCTTCTGCCGTTGAGCTCAAGCCAGTAATAGTGCAGTGTCATTTCAGATGGGTGTGGAAGTCCAGACAGAGAATCTGTCTCACCGACTGATGAAAAACAACCGTAAGAATTCGAGGCAATCGCATTCAGTGCAGCTGCAGAAAAATAACTGCGAACACTGTAGCTGCGGCTGAAAACACTGTAGCTGCTGTTGAAGAAATAACTGCGAACACTGTAGCTGCTGCAAAGCAACCGCTGCAAAGCAGCGAGACGAACACGTTGAACAAGGATTACGACAGTATTTACTGTTTCTGCGTCCCTTTTGATATTGCAAACAAATCTCTTTCATTTCGTTTTTTTAACTTAAACATAGATTCAGAGAGTAATCTCCGAGCAGAATTGCTTATCAAATATTGCAGTCCGTTCTGAACCGATCAAATTCTTCAACTTAATTCTGTATCCTGCACCAGATGAACAAGGTACCGAACTTCACGCCCACTTATCGGATCAAATATGCAAGCAAGTTGCGAACACGGATAAAGCAGCGGCTGCTAATATTTTCGTTTTTCCCCAAAAGAACGCACTTTGCCCCCGACAAAGCAAGGGAGCACAAATTTCAATCCCGGATCAGAGTTTGTCACGAAGCAACCAATTAACTTTTGGCTCTCCTGCAATCACATGGGCCGTGCATCTTCCAAGAGTGAAGAAATTCCTGTGAGTTGCAACAAACAGTGATTCCACTGGCAGTCAGTGGAGAGGGAATCTGAAAGAGTGGAGGAGAAATGGAGTTTTTGTCACTTTGCATCGGGAAGAACGATCAGCGGTGGCCGGCGGTGGAGGGGATATGCTTTCGCCGAGAGAATAAACAGTGAAAATAGCCTCCGCGAGTGACACAGCGATCACGGGCGTGTTCGGCGTTTTAGAGTCTAAAATTTAGAGGGGTTTAAACACAAAGAATTTTGTCTTAAATAAAGTTTAATTATAAAACTAACTGCAGAACCCTCCTTCTAAATCGCGAGACGAATTTAACGAGGGTAGTTAAGCCGTGATTAGACGATATTTACTGTAGCATCACTGTAGCAAAACATAGATTAATTAGGCTCATTAGATTCGTCTCGTAAAGATGTACCCATCTGTAAAAAGGTTTTGTCATTAAACTTTATTTAATACTCCTAAATAATAAGATTCTCTTTAGAGTTAAATTTTAGAGGAGTCTAAACGGTGAAACGAACACACCCCATATCTTTCGTCCCCATTCTGTACCACACGCCTTGCGGCCGAATCTTTTTTGTTATCCGTCTTGTGCTAGTCTCATCCATCATGAAGCTCATAAGATGGACTGATGGTGACCCCGTATCTACACTGATTGATCATCTCATGATAGGATGCTTACTACTACACAGCACCTATTTTCTTTTTCCCCTTTTTGTTCTGACGAGGTTGCATTTCTATATGAAGCAGGTTCTGATGGCGCAAAACTATTTCTTCAACATCATTTTTTCCTCAGCAAGCATCCAATTTATTTACTCCTATTTTCTTCTGTTTTGTAACATGCAAACTGATGACTCGTAGTACCGTAAGAGCTATAACTTTTACGTATATGCAGTAAGTGTACTTTTCCTTGTACCAGAAGGGCAGCTTGCTTTGAAGGAAGAGGGATTTTAACTCACCGACACCTACGTAACCATCCTGATAAACTGAACATGTCGGAATCAAGAGGTGCCCTACCCTCCAGAAAATAAACTCTGTATGAAACTCATTCTTGCACAAGCCCATCTGATCCTGGTCTGTCTCCACTTGCCCATACGAAATCTCCATGCGACCTACCGCGGTTCTGCCTTCATCACTTCATCCGAATCGAAGATACGACCGACAGATGACTGGACCGTTTCTTCGCCTTGTCATGACTCAATCGATTATAAACAAGCGGTGCTCAAATTTAGGTTCAAAAAAATTTATCTGTGTTAAAACTGAACACCTGCCAGCAGCGATATCCAATTATCAGAAAATAAAATTGGAAAGGATCGCAACGAAAAAGAAATGAGAATGAATGATTGCTCGGCAGAACTTATCCATCAAGCCGCGAGGAATGCATCCCCATACCAAACTCTTCATCAATTTAATAGTCGCATCGAATGATCATCATGCACCCATTGATCAATTGAAATCTTTGCTTTCTTATTCTCGAAAATAAATCTATGCTTCCCTGGCCCAATTATTAGGGCCTTATCCGGACAGATAAGCCTCCTTGTTTTGCTTGCTAATCACACCCGTGGAGATCGGATCGCGTCCTCTTAGTGGGTAGGTCGCGGGGTGCCCTCAGCAGGTTACGCGGTGCGGTCGTGCCTGTCTGTCAGGTGGGCCCTCAGCTTCTCGTCTCTGGGATCGCGGCGACACGTAAGGAAGACCGTGGGGCCAAGTGGAGGGACCCGATTGATTGCCGAGGAGGCTGAGTCTGGTCCCACGTGGCGGTTCGACCCTGCGATGTCGGCTCTGACATCCACAAAATTATCCAGACCAAAGGAAGCGAAGACTAATCAAAGGTTGCTGCATGGGTGCTCAAGCCTCAACTGATTGGATCATTTTTCTTTCGGTCTTTGGGGGTGTTCGTTACATAGGGTATAAAATTTAGAGGGAAGAATCTTGTCATTTAAGAGTATTAAATAAAGTTTAATTACAAAACTAACTGCAGAACCTCTGGTCTAAATCGCGAGACGAATCTAACGAGGGTAGGTAAACCGCGATTAGACGCTGGTTACTGTAGCATTACTGTAGCATCACTGTAACAAAATATAGATTAATTAGGCTCGTTAGATTCGTCTCGTAAAGATGTACCTATTTGTAAAAAGGTTTTGTCATTAAATTTTATTTAGTACTCTTAAATAATAAGATTCTTTTTAATGTGACAGGTCTAAATGCTAAATGCTAAAGCAACGAACACCCTCGAGGCCTTCAAACATATAATTCTGCTTGGGTGCCTGCTGAGATGTTTACATGCCTTACACGTACTACAGTACATTATTGTCTACGGGACATAAGAACCTTCGCAGCCTCTTCAAACATATAATTCTGCTTGGGTGCCTGCTAAGATGTTTACATGCCTGACACGTACTACAGTACATTATTGTCTACGGGACATAAGAACCTTCGCACGACTATATTGTTTGTTGTTTGACTAAAGGATTCAAACACTTACTTTGATACCCACAAAAAAAAATATTTTGAAAAAACACATAATTGATGGACTACATAATTTGGAGAATTGAAAAAATCGCAAGATCGCACATGTTCAAAAAATTTTGACTTGACAACAACGCGAAAAATACATAAGGGTAACAAATCTGAATCATGTGATTAGAATTGTATGGATGGGAAGTTGACTCTCGAACTTAAATTTTGTTTTCTTTTATTGCTAAATTTTTGTCCACAAATTCCTAGAGTATCTTTTTATAGGACTAAAATACGGGTCCATTTTCTATATCTGATGAAAGCTGTATACGTCCGCTTGCATGACACATTAAACGATGACAGTCAAGATGCTAGAAAGCAATATCGATTTTCTTACTAGACATATTCAACTGTGAAAGGGATCTTGACCTAGTGGTTAAGGCATCCAAGTAGCACTTTTAAGGTCCTGGGTTCGATTCTCGGTGGGAGCGAATTTTCTAGGATTTAACGGCATTTGTGCTTTCAGCGGTAGGCGACGTGGCCGTCGACAGCGAGACGCCAGTGGTGACTTCGTCAATCTGGAGGATTTACCGGCTCAGTCTTCGAAGATGCTCAAAGAGGTAGAGTTTGCATATGTGCTTTCATAGAGGTGAGTGTGCGTGCGTTGTGAGTGTCTGAGTTGTACTGTGTAATCTCGAGAAAAAAGACATATTCAACTAACATAGTGGGATTTTTTTATACTTTGTTATTTATGAATTTGAAAAAACCAAACTAAGGATCGGAGGCAAACCGCTACATGGTTTTTTTTTTTCTTAGTCATTATTTCAGTAATAAACTCGTCAGATGTCCCGTGTACATCACTTTAGTAAGGGTTTGTTAGATCATGAGTCAAAAGATCTCTAAAGGATACTGAACAATAGACGTGATTATTACCAAATCTCTTGCTTAAGTACCATATAAACTATCCTTTCACCTGCCTTAACTGTACTTTCACAGAACCACAAAAACATCAAGCAAAACCATGGAGAAGCGAAGCAAACCCATAAACCGGCTCAGTTGGTTCGTTGCATTAGCAGAACCGCCGCGACCCTACCCGCCAAATACAAGCTTCCGGGAGGCTCTCTGTTCTAAAGCAATAAAAAGAAAGCCAAAATACGGCAAGCTGCGTCGAAGACTACCCCACCCCATTCCATCCCCCACCACATCCGAACGAGCTCCCTAGAAAACGACGTCGTCCGGCCGCCGAGCTGCGCGACGCAACCCGCGGCGCAGCCTCAAAACCTCAGACACAAGCCTCGTTGCCTCCCCATTAAGCACCCTCCCCTCCCCCTTCCTCATCAGTCTCGCCGCCATTCCCCATACGCCACTGCGCTCTCGGTCTCGAGCCTGTCGTTGATTCCCCAAACTCATTTCTCCGATTCAATCGCCGGAGCCCCAGCCTAGGCGTCGTCGCCGTCGCCGTCGCCGCCGCCACTTCGTTGGGAGAAGGTAGGCATGGAAGAGGTCCCAGTCACCCTCGACTTCCGGTCCGGCGGGAGCGCTACTAGTCCTGTTCCTGATGCCGCCGCCGCATCATGCCACGCCGCGGAGCGCTGCGCCGGCGCCGGTAAGGCCTCCTCCTTTCGTCCTCTACGGCTGACAACAAGTCGATGTTTTTTTACCTCACCGTGGTCGGTGAACGGAACACCAACGCCCGTGCCGTGGCCGGTCAACGGACCAGGGCGGTGAATGGATCACCAACCCCCTGCTGTAGCCGGTGTCTGTAGTTGTGACAGATTTTAGTCCGCCGGCTCACCGTTGATCACTGCCTGCCTTCTTTTTCACCTCTGTTATTTTTTTTCCCTGTTTTAATTTGATTTGGGTTTGATGCAGGCGCTGCCGAAGAGGTGCCTGGAGGTCCGGGTTTGGAGGACACAGGCGCCGCTGCGTTGAAGTCGAATTCAGCCGGTTCCGAGGGCCAGGCCGTGAGTGGCGATGCGGCGGAGCGCCCGGGCATCGATGCTGCCGAAGACGCAGGGGTTCTCTGCTCGGAAGGTATTGACGAGCTCGAATCGGCGGAGCCCGGTGCTTCAGATGATATTTCATTGGTTGAGGTGTCCCCATCAGGTGCCAGTTCGAATTTGGATGCCACTAAGTCGATTCGTGGTTCATCCTCCGTTCAGGGGCCTGGGCCCCTAGAGGAGAGTGGCGCCAGAGGAAGTGAACAACTAGATGCGCAGCAAGAGGGAAGGGGGACCCCTGCTACCAATGGGGAAGTAATTTCTGAGGTGGTGGGAGTTGAGACGAAGGCTGAAATGGACGGTAGAAATGGCCTGGCTGGAGGGGAATTGGAATTGCGTGCTGATGGCGACGATGTCGTAGAAGAGGCTGCAGATATGAGTGGTGTATTGTGTGATGAAAGAGTGGAGGGGATGGAGACGACTTTGGAGGGGCGTGAGGCCTCAGATGGCTCCACCGGGCGCCTTGTGGAAGGAGTGGACAGGATGGAGACGAGTTTGGATGACTCTGAGGCTTCGGACGGCTCAACCACGCAGGACTCTGATACTGACGTCGAGACGGAGTCTAGTGGTTCTAGTACAGAGGAACAAGACGTGGAATACGGAGCCCACATCCCTCGAATGGTATGTGTTCCCTGTGAACTCCTCTAGTTCCTTGTGAACGTTGTAGTTGTCCCTCTTAAATTTTCATTGGAATTCACCGAAGTTCCTGACATACAATCCCTAAAAAATAGCTGTAGATTTAATCTACCGTTGGTATAAATTCTTATGTCTAGATACTTGATGCTTTGACTTCTCCCTTGATCCAGTTTATAATTTTATTTGAGTTTCTACATCAGAAAATTTTATAAGATGAGAAGCAGTGAGTTGCACACATCTACTTTACATCCTTTTTGTTTATGTACAGTTCATTTATGCCGTGATATTCCTTTTTTAATCTATTTTGACCTAGTATTCTTCTCCATTATTGATGTCCTGGATCAGTTTCGAGTCAAATATTTGTCTAGCTTTGTTTGTATGGGCATATATCCTATTCTGACCACAAACAGTTTTGTTTTCCTGAGACTTGGGATGATGCTTATATAGTAGGCTGATCTTATTTGCAAATTTGTGGTTATTTCATTGAAAGATTGCCTTAGCTTGATTGAGGCTGTACATATGTCTTTCTAAAACCTGTCTTGTTTTGCTGCATGAATGTTTTGTCGAAGACACTGAATCTCTGCTGGCTAATGGATGATAATGTGAATTTCGTTTCCCATGTAGGGTCAAGCAATCCAGAAGGTAGCTAGAGAAAGTAACACTGCAAGGGTGAAGAGCTCTGACAGGTATTAATTTGCATCATTGATTTAAGCATCTTTACAATTCAAGCTGTCAGCCGATAGTGTGATCTGTCTGCTCGCATTCCTATTGGCATATTCAAGCCCGATGTGTACTTTTAAGTCCTGCCAGAGTTTGATGGGTTTGTTGTTCTGTATTTTTCCCTTTGAACTTGGGGAACTTAAAAGGACTTAGACATAGCATTTTAATATTTATACTGTACTGCAGGATGACTTCAGTGTCCTCATCAACACTTGTACTGGCCTCAGGTGCAGCAATGCTACCACATCCTTCAAAGGTACTTGAGTTACCATCAAGTTTTGTGAAGATCTTAGCATATAGTTTATGTATGTGCCAAGCTAATAATAGTCTGCATCACTATTTCTACACATCGAAAGGAAACTATGCATGGTTTTCTCATACTTCCGGCTCATTTCTTGCACCTGCTCCATCCTATTGTATAATCTATGTTTCTCAGAACACCTAAAAATGTTTAGTGAAAAGTGAAATAGCATTTGAGCTATTTGAGATATACCTTTTTAAGAAAGTTACTTGGCAATGCATTGACTAGTTTTCTTGATGTGAGATGATACATCAGGGGAATATTAACCCTCCATGCCTAATTGATCTTTTATTCGTGATACTTACAGTTGGGCAACCCAGATTTCTCTCGAATATTGTTTTGACAATTATACCTGTTAATGTTTCCAGGTACTGACAGGTGGTGAAGATGCATATTTTATAGCTCATGACGGTTGGTTTGGTGTAGCAGATGGAGTTGGTCAGTGGTCATTTGAAGGTAAGACATTTCTTCTCTGCTACATTCCTGTGCTGAAGCTTGTCGATGCTTTGAAATCTAGTCTCAAGCATCTGAATCTCCGGTCCATAACTTGTTTGTTAAGTTGTGCAAACTTTTGGTGAGTGTTTGTTTGTCGATGGTCATCACTTAAATAAATTAGACTAGCAACTTTTGCACCCACTGGGTGTTATTTAGGGTCAAAGTTGATCACTTGCTATCAAAAGAAATTTGAAACCACAGTAACTGTTGGTGGACTGAGGGCAGTAAGAAAATAATTGCTGACTACAGTGAATGCTTATAACCTCTATGCTTTCACTTGTCGATGTCATGACACATATAAGCACTAGGAACACACCAGTTACCATACAAGAAACACAGTTTGCAGATTTCTTGTCACTGTATTTTAAGGTTCCTCAGTTTGAAGAACATGTGGATTTGACTTTTCATGTCAGAATGTGAACACTTCTAATTGTTGATGGAACTTCTTCGCAGGAATCAACGCAGGGCTTTATGCAAGGGAACTAATGGATGGCTGCAAAAGGTTTGTAGAGAGTCAAGGGGCTTCCCAGATGAGTACTGAGGAAGTTCTTGCTAAGGCCGCAGACGAAGCTCGGTCCCCTGGTTCTTCCACTGTTTTAGTTGCGCACTTCGATGGCCAGGTACATCATTTTGTTGCGTGCTGGCACTAATTTTTTTATCTGTTGATGGTTAATTCTAAATATGGTTCTCCCCCGAGAAAACTGTGTGTGCTTATAGACTTGATACTGCAGGTCCTTCATGCATCTAATATTGGAGATTCTGGATTCCTTGTGATAAGGAATGGAGAGATCTATACAAAATCAAAACCGATGACTTATGGTTTCAATTTTCCCTTGCAAATTGAGAAGGGTGATGATCCTTTGAAACTTGTACAGGTTCGTCGGTAATTTCTGGTCTCATTGATTCCCTCTCGTAACCTTTATAATGATTTCTTTCCTTATGATATTCTCCTTAACTTGCAGAAATACGCCATCGATCTACAAGAAGGTGATGTCATTGTAACAGCCACAGATGGTCTTTTTGACAATGTTTACGAGGAAGAGGTAGCAGGTGTCGTCTCCAAATCGTTGGAAGCCGACCTCAAGCCCACGGTAAGAACCAAACAAACTCCTCTTTGTACAGGAGAACCTAATGAACTCCCTGCTTAGAAAACTGACGAGCAATAATTATACTGATGTCACCATTTGCATGAAATTGCAGGAGATTGCTGAGTTCCTCGCTGCTAGAGCAAAGGAAGTGGGGCGGACTGGGTTCGGAAGTAGCCCGTTTTCGGACGCCGCTCGCGATGCTGGGTACCTGGGTTACTCGGGGGGCAAGATGGATGATGTAACAGTTGTTG